TATATATATATATATATATATAATATATATATATTTAAAACAAAAGAAAAAAACTGGATTACATTTAATGCACACTGCACACTCTCTATATTTATTTTTACAATATACTAGCATGAAACTTAACATCCTTAGTTATCTGGATCAACATAAAATGTTTATTGCCATAGCGTCAGCAGACATCTCACGCCAACTTGGCTCCATTATCTCCTCTCTCCTTCTCTTAATTTCAAAGTCTCTCAGCCTACTCACCATCAAACCATAACAATTATGTGTTGACAACTGCTTATGGGTTTAAGAGTCAAACAAATCCTACATATATATATCATATTCATGATTCATGTTTCAGTAGTCATATATATAGTAGATTATGTATATAGCTCTGACTTATTGGCTTGATATTTAATATGAATTAGTCCAATATATTAATTCATTTCGCTTGGGGCATAGCTTGTGAGTTGGCGTGATTTATTATCTACAGACGGAAAATGTTTCTTAGAGGAAGAGGATTAATCTATTTCATTTTATTTATTAGTAAAACATAATTACTATTTATTACTGTAGATTATTAGTATTAGTAAATGATAATTTGTAATTATTAGTAAACCATGATTAGCATTTTTAGTAAAGCATAATTACTATTTATTACTGTAGATTATTAGTATTAGTAAATGATAATTAGTATTTATTAGTATAGCCTAATTATTATTTATTAGCAAATCATAATTAGTATGCCTTTCTTATGTATAGTATGTGCAATGTTATATATCTTTTGTCTCTTGCACAGCTGTGATCGATGACAAGTGGGAGGCCATGAGAAAAAGAGTTGCAGTGCGTGAGGGCGGCCATGCGGCTGGCCCTGAGGCAGCTGATCAAGATGAGGAAGGAGAAGGTGGCCTACCAGGTGATCCTGAACAGAGCTCGGCATCGTTGTCGATCCGATTGGACCTCCGTGCCCCGTGCCTATCTGGAGAAGTAAGCGATCCTTCAATAACATTTCTAATTATGTAACTCAGATATCCAACAATGAAAATAGGGTTTAATCACAGATTGTGTGGAAAGGTAAACGCTCGTTTTAAAAGCGTAAAGGGTTCAATCGATTTTTTTAGGTCAGATATACGCGGCGAAAAACTGATTTGAAAATAATGTTTTAATAGTCATTGTATATATTTTTTTTTTCATCATTGTAGAATTTTTGCTCCATCACAACAGAAGTTATACCTCCCCTCCTTTTCCCTTCCTCCATGAGACCACATGGGTTCTTGGACTGGGTCTAGATGCTGCTGTCTACCAAGTGGTATAAAGAACAATAAATTTTAATTAAAAATAAAAATTATTTTTATGGTAATTAGAACCCCTACGAAAATTACAGCGGCTTGATGGCCAATTGGGCTAGCGCTCTGGCCTTTGGTACCACAGGCTTCAGGTTCAAGTGGTTGTACGTGAGTGGTTCGTAATCCGAGACTTGAAAAGGAAACATTGTTTATTTACTACATCATTGCATTACAAAGTGATCCCTTGATTCAATGTTTACAATAAATGCTCAAAATGGAACCACCAACATACTTGGTAGACTTAAATACATACTTGACTTACTTACTTGGTAGAAATACATACTTGGTAGACTTAAATACGTACTTGACTTACTTACTTGGTAGAAATACATACTTGGTAGACTTAAATACGTACTTGACTTACTTACTTGGTAGAAATACATACTTGGTAGACTTAAATACGTACTTGACTTACTTACTTGGTAGAAATACATACTTGGTAGACTTAAATACGTACTTGACTTACTTACTTGGTAGAAATACATACTTGACTTACTTACTTGGTAGAAATACATACTTGGTAGACTTAAATACGTACTTGACTTACTTGATAGAAATGCATACATGGTAGACTTAAATACGTACTTGACTTATTTACTTGGTAGAAATATATACTTGGTAGACTTAAATACGTACTTGACTTACTTACTTGGTAGAAATACATACTTGGTAGACTTAAATACGTACTTGACTTACTTGGTAGAAATACATACTTGGTAGACTTAAATACGTACTTGACTTACTTACTTGGTAGAAATACATACTTGGTAGACTTAAATACGTACTTGACTTACTTGGTAGAAATGCATACTTGGTAGACTTAAATACGTACTTGACTTACTTACTTGGTAGAAATACATACTTGGTAGATTTAAATACGTACTTGACTTACTTACTTGGTAGAAATACATACTAGGTAGACTTAAATACGTACTTGACTTACTTACTTGGTAGAAATACATACTTGGTAGACTTAAATACGTACTTGACTTACTTACTTGGTAGAAATAAAACTTGGCAGACTTAAATACGTACTTGGTAGACTTAAATACGTACTTGACTTACTTGGTAGAAATACATACTTGGTAGACTTAAATACGTACTTGACTTACTTACTTGGTAGAAATACATACTTGACTTACTTATTTGGTAGAAATACATACTTGGTAGACTTAAATACGTACTTGAATACTTGTAGAAATAAAACTTGACTTACTTACTTGGTAGAAATACATACTTGGTAGACTTAAATACGTACTTGACTCACTTACTTGGTAGAAATACATACTTGACTTACTTACTTACTTGGTAGAAATACATACTTGGTAGACTGAAATACGTACTTGACTTCCTTACTTGGTAAAAATACATACTTGGTAGATTGAAATACGTACTTGACTTACTTACTTGGTAGAAATACATACTTGACTTACTTACTTGGTAGAAATACATACTTGGTAGACTTAAATACATACTTGGATACTTGAATACATGTTTGGTAGCTTTGAAGAAGTGACTGGCGGAAGCAGTTACAAAGATACATGTATGCAGCCGTGTGCATGCATGCCGTGATTATTTGCATGCTTGCAGCTACAATGGATAGTGGGGCAACGAGGACGTCAAGGAGTCATTCTCATAAATGAAAACACCGTTTCAAACATAAGAGTAAAAATAAAATAGAGTGTGCATATTTATCCATTTCTTCCTGGTTATCACACAGGAGACCGAGAGGGTCAGGTGTCAGTTGAATGATATTCATTCTATATGTTAATTTATTTTCAAGACAGGGCCTGTGAGAAGTCCTACTTGAAGCACGAGCTGGCCGACCTGGTGGATCGTCTGCAGGCCATCGACCCCAAGTTCCGCTTCGACCCAGAGTGCGTCCCTTCCACCCTCTCCACCTCCCGGGACGTCCTGCTGACGCACAAGCAGATGGACGACCTGATGGTGCTGTTCGACAAGTACAGCGTCTACCGCTCCGTCAACCAGAGGGAGGCGGCGGACGCCTTCAAAGCATACCTCAAGATGAGATGAGTACGAGGACAGGCTCATTCAGAACAACGCCATGATCGACGAAATCTATGCAGTACGCAAAAGGGTACGATTGATTTAGTTTTTTAACACATTTTTATTAGTTTCACCTGTATGTTTATTTGTTTGTTTGCTTTGGGCTCGATTTTGCCCTACTTTAAGCGATCAGATTTAATTTAAACGTTGCAGACTTATCAAGGACCGACGACACTAAAATATTTTGATAAGTTTACTATCTTATCATGATTAGGATCGCCAGGATGAGTGATTTTATTTCAACTTATGGAGAGAAATTTAACCCATGTAGAATGAAAGCACCCAAGACATTCAAACCTACGTGGGACAACGGATAACGCTCCTGACGACGGATCAGGGAGATTTCCTGTTCGAATCTGGCTGGCTCGATATCAGTCGTTATAATTTTCATTCCGAAATGCAGAGTTAGTTTAAAAATGTCATATAAAAATGTCACCTCACGCTTTTAGAACAGTGACATTCATTTTCTCGTCATGTTAACAACTATTTTTTACATTTTAGTTTGATTAACTCTAAAAGCGTGTTTTTAGTTTTTTTAAACTATTAATTTATTTTTGTCAAGCTAGATTCACACCAAATACTGAGATCGCAATGCGTCAGCCAATTATACTCCTCTGATTGGCAGACTACTGCTACAGCTTATCTTAGTATCTGATAGGAATCAAGCGTTGGTCTTCATTAATTTCTGCTAATTCTATTTAACACTCTGTTAGTCTGATATCTGTTATCTGCGTTAAGATCCATCCATTATACTCCGTTATCTCCGCCGTAATACCTACGTTATACTCCGTTATCAACTTCCTAATATTGTTGTTAAACTTCGTTATCTTCGTCATATTGCCTCCGTTATCTCTGTCGTAATACCTCCATTAACACCGTCCTATTACATTCGATTGGTCCGTCCTAGTACATCCATTATCTTCGTTATCTACGTCTTAATACTCGGTTGTTACCGTCTCCGTCCTATTATATTCCTTTTTCTCATCCTTTTGTATTCATTATTTATTATCATATGTTCAGTAGCGAGTTTTTGCATACCGTACTTTAAAAAATACGGTATTTTTCTCCTAGCGCGCATGCTCATAGAAAATTGCGCATGCTTATCTGTAATAATGTTTCCTATGAGCATGCTCGCTAGGGAGAAAAATACCGTATTTTTTAAAGTATGGTATGCAAAAACTCTCTATTATCTCCATTATATTACCGTCCTATTATATTCATTTGCTCCGTCCTATTATATCCGTTATCTCCATCATATTACCTCCGCTATCACCATTCTATTCACATCTATTATTTCCTTTATATAACATCCGTTATCTCCGTTCTATTACATACACTATCTCCTTTCTATTACATACACTATCTCCTTTCTATTACAGTATCTCCGTCCTATTACATCCGTTATCTGAGTCCTATTGCATTCATTAACTCTTTCCTAATACTATTATCACCGTTCCATTATCTATGTTATACTCCATCCTATTACCTCCGTTATCGTTCTATTACATGCTTTATATTCCGTTATATTACCACCGTTATCTCCGTTATTTCCGTTATATTACCACCGTTATCTCCGTTATTTCCGTTATATTACCACCGTTTGGTTCTCGTTAGATCACCGAAGTCAAGCATCATTGGGCGCGGTCAGTACTTGGGTGGGTGACCACCTGGGAACACCGCGTGCTGTTGGCCTTCACAAATTTGGCACCTGAATGGCCGAGTGTCTAGCGCTCTGGCGCTCGGTGCCACAGGTTTCGGGTTCGAATCCCGGCGGTGCCATGGATGTTTGTAGTGGTTCGGAATCCACTTTAAGCCGTAGGTCCCGGTCTCCTATGACTGTAAGAGTGTCACGGTGCCAAAGTCAGACTTCTACCTACGGGAGCTCCATCACAACAGAAGCTGCTTCCTTCCCCTTCAATCATGAGTACGTGTGGGCTTGACCAGCCAAATGGGATATGAAACAACAAACAACAAGCCGTTATCTCCATCCTATTACATTCGTTATCTTCATCCTGATATATCCGTTATGTGTCCTGTTATATCCATCATATTACCTCCGTTATCTCCGTCCTATTATATTCGTTATCTCCATCCTAATACCTCCGTTATGTCTTATTACATTCGTCAGTCGTGTATCTTATTACGTACAAGAGTCATTTTTTTAATTCCTTCTATTAGCTCACACTCTCCCTATATATATCTTGTTCACATTTTCAATCGTTCATAAAATGCTTTTTATTCATGCACTCCAGTTCAAATACATTTTTTGAAATTTGTAGTGGATGACACTGGATGTTAATACAGTTTTTTTCAAATATTAATTCATTCATTAAATTTAATTAATTATTTTTAGTTTTTTTAGATTTAAATTGCATGTAGCTACCAATAAATAGCGCCAGATAAACTTAAAAAAATGAATGAAATCGGTTGCAAATACTTTTCCATATAGCACTCAAATGATCAAGTTTTGATAGTCAATTACATCACGTGCAGTCCACTCGGTTGGTTACCGATTGGACTCCGGTGTGAAATGATGGAGCCATGTTTCATCCATTGTCACATATCGACGCAAAAATTCGGGTTTGTTCCAAATACTGCTTGCTCCGAACTGCTCCGAACACTGCTTAGAATCATCCATTCGTTGTTGTTTTGGGCCGATTGTGAGCTCTGCGCGGCACCCACTTTGAACAGAGCTTTCGCATATTCAAATATTCATTCACGATATGTCCAACACGTTCCTTTGATATCTTTAGGGTCTCAGCTATCTCAATCCACTTCACTTTACGGTTATCAGAATCTATTTTGTGGACTTTTTTATGTTTTCGCCGGTAACAGCATCTTTGGGGAGCCCACTGCGTGCATCGTCCTTGGTACTCATTTGGTCTCGTTTAAATTTAGCAAACCACTTCTCTATGGTTGATTTTCCTGGTGCAAAGTCCGAATAATGTTTATCAAGCCAAACCTTGGCTTCAATAGTATTTCTTTTTCGCCTAAAAGCAATGCTTTATTAACACACGAAATTCCTTTTTATCCATTTTTTTCAAACTAACAAAAGTTGCTTCACTAAAAATGCTATAACTCAAATACTAATAATGCAACAGCTGTCAAATTTATACACGTGTCTTTTAAATGTTAACGCTAACTAAATATTATATGGATTTAATACCATCTATGTGTCAGCCTATGAACTTTTCAGCCCCCCTGTTATCCTAAATTTGCAAAAAAAAAATTTAATTTCAGATAAATGAACTTAAAAATCAAGAAAGAGAAGACAAGTGCTTCATGAATTTTCTGGTGTCCTACAAACTTTACAAAGAGAAAAACCTCCACAGAAAACAAAGAAGAAGAAAGAAAGTTCCGAGGTAATAGTCATAGCACGCAGTCCAACGAAAAGGTGAGAAGGTATTCTTTTTTCTTTTTCCATCTAAATAATTCAAAGGAAAATTTGAATTTAATTATCTTAACTAATCTAATCTATGTTTAAAATACCTGAATTCAAATATTAGAATTGCGGTATTTTTTTTTTCATAAAATTTTACTTTACAACATTTGTTTTGCTTTTATTTGATTATATAAGAAAGGACTACTTTTAAATAAAGGATGAATTATATGCTGGTTTACCAAAAATCAGAATAAAACCAAAAATCAGAAAAATCAGAATAATTGGGGTTGCCGTATTTTTACTCTTTGAAATTTAATGAATTTTGTTCAAAACATAAGCAAAGAAAAGGCTTTTTGAAATACATATCAAATAAATAAAATAGAAATATGCATACCATATTTGTCATAATATAATACCCTATTTGCGTAATCGAAACGTATACGGAAACTATACCATATTGTCTTAGTCAATGAATATTATGTATGGAAACTATACCTTATTAGCTTAATCAATGTGTGACATATATGCAAACCATTCCATATTATCTTAAGTCACAGTGTGATATATATGGAAGCCATATCACATTGTCTTAGTCACAGTGTGATATATATGGAAGCCATATCACATTGTCTTAGTCACAGTGTGATATACACTGAAGTGACAAAAGTCATGGGATACCTCTTAATATCGTGTAGGCCCTCCTTTCGCCCGGCGAAGTGCAGCAACTCGACATGGCATGGACTCAACAAGTCGTTGGAAGTCTTCTGCAGGAATATTGAGCCATGCTGTCTCGATAGACGTCCATAATTGTGAAAGCGTTGACGGTGCAGGATTTTGGGCACGAGCAGACCTCTCGATGATGTCCCATAAATGATCGATGGGATTCATGTCGGGCGATCTAGGTGGCCAGATCATTCGTTGGAATTGTCCAGAATGTTCTTCAAACCAATCGCGAACAGTTGTGGCCCGGTGACATGGCGCATTGTCATCCATAAAAATCCATCGTTGTTTGGGTACATGAAGTCCATGAATGGCTGCAAGTGATCTCAAGTAGCTGAACATAAGCATTTCCAGTCAATGTTCGGTCCAGTCGCACCAGAGGACCAAGTCCATGCCATGAAAAAACAGCCCACACCATTACGGAGCCACCACCAGCTTGGACAGTGCCTTGCTGACAGTTTGGGTCCATGGCTTCGTGGGGTCTGCGCCACACTCGAACCCTACCATCAGCTCTTACCAACTGAAATCGTGACTCATCGGACCAGGCCACGGTTTTCCATTCATCTAGGGACCAACCGATATGCTCACGTGCCCACGAGTCGCTGCAAGCGATGTCGTTCTGTCAGTAAAGGCACTCGAGTCTGTCTTCTGCTGGAATAGCCCAAGAAAGCCAAATTTTTCCGCACAGTTCTAACAGACAAGTCCCTTGTACGTCCCACATTGATTTCTGCGGTTATTTGACGCAGTGTTGCTTGTCTGTTTGAATTTACGACTCTTTGCAGACGTCGCTGGTCTCGGTCGTTAAGTGCAGGCGGTCGACCACAGCGCTGTCCATGGTGGGATGTTATGCCTGAAATTTCATACTCTCGGCACACTCTTGACACAGTGGATTTGGGAATGTTGAATTCCCTAACGATTTCCGAAATGGCATGACCCATGCGTCTAGCTCCAACTAACATTCCGCGTTCAAAGTCTGTTAATTCCCGTCGTGCGGTCATCATCACGTCAAAACCTCTTCACATGAATAACTTGAACAGAAATGAGAGCTCTGCGAAAGCACTGCGCATTTATACCTGTTCTACGCGATGCTACTGCCATCTGAAAATTTGCATATTGCTATCCCATGACTTTTGTCACTTCAGTGTATATGGAAGCCATTTCATATTGTCTTAGTCAAAGGGAAATACATATGGAAGTCATACCAAGCGATGAGTATTATATATGGAAGCCATATCATATCATCGTTAATTTTATATGGAAACTATACCATATTATCTTAATCAATGTGCTATACAATCAGATTTAGTCTTACTTTAGTCAATATGTAATCAGCTTCATAACGAAATATTAACATTCCTAACAATTATACAAACATGGCAGTGATTTTCCATGGTGATAAGGAAAGTGTTTAATAATTCAGTTAACAGCAAAGTCCAAGCAGTATCAAGGCTATTCCAAGGCTCCTAAGTCAATAATACATCTCTCTAGAGCCTTCCAAATATATTCAACGGGTTCAAGTCCGGAGAAAGTCCTGGCCAACATAGACATATATTTCCTTCCTCCTTGAAGCTAAGGAAAGGTATACAAGAGTCTATAATACAAGGGTCTATAGTACTAGATACAAAATAATGCCTAAATTAAATCAAAGTTTTTCAAAGGATACCTAGACATGACAACATGAAATAAAAAATCAAACGAAGAAATGTATTTAGTTGGTTTTAAAATCTGATGAACTTTGTAGAATCAAGGAAATTAGGATAGATTAAAAGAGGCTGTCAAATGTTATAGAACAGCATTTTTTGCGTTTATTTTCTTCTATTAAAACTAGATGGCAGCAAGCATGTTGTCCTTGTGAAAGCTGTAAAATCTTTTAATTTTTTTTGTTTTTACGAAAACAAACTATTTCTATTTGATGAGCTGAAACAGTAGTTTTATTACTTGGAAAAGTTTTAGATGTGTTTAAAACGCAAATTTTACGTGCACTTCAACGAACCACATTTCTAATATCGGCAACTAACGAGCAGGAGGTCCGAGGTTTGTCCAAGGAAGTCACTGCTTTCTTGTTGTTGCTGGTGGCTGTTGTTGTTGCTTATCCCCTTGATTTAGAATCCTAAACCAAGTCCAGTAGATCATGCTGCATCAATAGATCGTAAACTGTCCTCCCCACATTTAACAGTTGCCTCACAGAGGCACCCATACAATCGATGAGATGAGAGGGAGACGCGATGGCCGAACAATGACAAAGGGTATATGTCTCCATTGAAGGTCAAACTCTTAATTTGGCCAGTCCTTAGTCTAGCTAAAGCCGTTTGAGCAGGTCTAGGACAGGAGCACTGCAAGGACATACCAGGATATTTAGCGGCGTACCATGCATGAATGGGTGGCGATCTCCAAGCTGTATTCACTCTGGCTAAAGTCATGGAATAAACCTCTGAAGCTGACAGATTGGAAGAAGAAGCTTTTGGAAGTTCGCAACCTTCCCTAGCGAGCAGATCAGCAATTTCATTTCCGTAGATGCCCACATGGAAGGGAATCCACTGCAAGCACACCGATCCGATCTGGTCCAAAACAGCTAGTTTAGAAACTA